AGCCATATTGCGACTATGAGGCAAAGCCTCATAGGTTTGATTGCTACCAGCAGCCCAAAGGGACCTAGCTGTTGCACTCAATGAATAGCTTCTCCTACCTGACCAATTATTCTAGGCAGAACCAGGGAATCACTATTGCTGATATTGCTGTCATTTTGGAAGATTTTCTCTGCAACAAGATCTTGCCGTATAATATAGTACTTATCCTCAAGGCAACCATATGTGGTAGTTAGTGTCTTCCTTTTACTGGTAGTTAATTAAATCTTAGACTCTAAGCAGTAGAGCCAGGATTTGAATCTTTGTATGTATTTAAGATACCTGTTCTTGGGGCCAGGAAGTAGTGTAGTGGTTAAGGTACTATATTCCCACATGGCTGACAGCAGTTTGAGTTCCAGACTTCATGGCTTGCTTTCCTGCTGCCCCCCACCCCACTCCCATCTCTCTCTGGTGAGTGCACATGCCCTATGATGACTTGAGAAATAATAATACTTAAAAGAATAACATTAATAACTTTTAAAAATAACCTTTAGGGCCAGCAGATGGTGTAGGAGTTATATCTCTTGACTCCCACATAGGTGACGATGGTTCAAGTCCCAGACCCTGTGGCTTGAAACTCACATCAGGTATGTGTATGTGTGCGTGCCTAAGATCATGGGAAGAGAATGGAGGAGAAGGGATTGAGGCATGGCAATCTTCCTGGAAAGTGATTTCTCACTTTCCCTCTCATTGTCTCTGTCTCTCTCTATTCAGTGAGTATATGTGCTCTAAGGCAAAAACTTCTTAAAAATAAATAAAAATAACTTTTAAAAATAAATAAGGATAAAATAAAATACTTGTTCTTTTTTCGCTTTAGAGAGATTCTTGTTATAAGGCTCATGTGCTTGCTAGAGAGACAGAAAGCAAGAAATCACCCCGTGGAGGGGTGGCCTTGCCGCAATCCCTTCTCCTTAATTCTTCTCTCAGGATTTTGAGCATGCATGTCCATGCATGCAGCATGAGGTTTTTTTTTTTTTTTTTTTTTTTTTTTTTGGGGTTTTTTTTTTAGGA